AATGATCTTTAGCAAAATTTTACTTCCATGTGATATTGATGATACTGTCTGATGACTTCCACATTCCGTTGGGTCCACATTCTTGCAGTCCATGGTGCTTGCAGTATTTTGTGCCCACCCCATAATTCAAATGCATCGACTCTTTTACAGAAGAATTCCTCTTTTTTTGTTGTTGTTGTGAAGTGCCATTGAGTTGGTTCTGACCCATAGCGACTCTGTATAGGGGTTCCAAGGAGCAGCTGGTGAGCTTGAACCACTGACCTTGCAGCTCAAACGACTTTGCAGTCTGGTGCCTTAACCCACAGCGCCATAACTTTGGAGTGGGTACAAATATGGTTCTCTTCCAATCAGTTGGCCTGGTAGCTTTCTTCCAGATTTCTTGGCAGAGATGAGTTGAGTGCCTCCAGTGATCTTCTTTATGATTTTGACTTTTTTCCACATTTTCTTCTCTATGATCAGGACTTTCTAATCCCTTTCAGAGCAGTTGGTAATGGTAGCCAAGCACTGGCAATACTGAAGAATGACATTTGAAGTGATTAACTTGGGGGTCCTGCGGAAATAGGGGATCCTGTACGTCATTATGGTTGCCTTGTGGCTACTGCTGATTTTCTGGTTTGGAGAGCCATCAAAATGGTCAGTTCAGAATGTGTGTGATTTATGGGAACTGAGAAAATATGCCATCAGATTTGGATGAAGACCCATATTGTGGGTTGGTTTGAATCCCCAAAAAAGATATGTTGATATTCATACCCAGTTATCTTTAAATGTGACCTTATTTGGAACTAGGGTTTTTGCAGCTGTAATTAACATGACATCTGGTGCCAGATTTGCCTAGTGCTATAGTAGTGGTTACGAATCGGGCTGCGAACCTTAAGGTCAGCGGTTCGAAACTACCAGCCGCTCTGCGGGAGAAAGATGAGGCTTTCTACTCCCGTAAAGATTTACACCCTTTGGGTCGGAACCGACTCTACGGCACTTAACAACAACAACATACATTGTTTGAAGGAGCTCTGGTAGCGTAGTGGTTACGAATCGGGCTGCGAACCTTAAGGTCAGCGGTTCGAAACTACCAGCCGCTCCGCGGGAGAAAGATGAGGCTTTCTACTCCCGTAAAGATTTACACCCTCGGAAACCCTGTACAGGGTCGCTATGGGTCGGACCCGACTCGATGGCACTTAACAACAACAATACATTGTTTGAGTTCTTGACTGCTGCTTCCATGAATGTTGCTATTGGATCCATGCAAAATGAAGTCTTCAACAACCTCCATCTTTTCTCCATTTATCTTGATGTTATTTATTGGTCCTGTGGTGAGGATTTTTGTTTTTTTTACATTGAAGTACAACCCATATTGACGGCTGTGGTCTTTGATCTTCACCAGTAAGTATTTTAAGTTTGCTTCCGCTCTCTGTAAGCAAGGTTGTATCACCTGCAGGTGGTTAATGGGTCTTCCTCCAATCCTGATGCCACGGTCTTCTTCATGTAATCCAGGTTCTCAGATTATTTGCTCAGCATACAGATTGAACAACTATGGTGAGAGAATACAACCCTGGCACACACCTTTCCTGATTTTAAGCTCTTCCATGTTCCCTTGTTCTGTTTGAAAGACTGCCTCCTGGTCTGTGTAGGTGTTGTCATGAGCACAGTTAAGTGTTCTGGAATACCCATTCATTATTTGCAATGTTATCCATAGCTTTTCATGATCCACACAGTCAGAAGCCTTTGCATAGTCAATAAAGCACAGGTAAACAATTTTCTGGTATTCTCTGATGTCAGCTAAGATCCATCTTACGTCAGTAGTGATGTCCCTTGTTCCATGCCTTTGTCTGAATCTGGCTTGAACCGTTGGCAGTTCTCTGTCAGTGTATGGTTGCCGCCTTTTTGTACTATCTTTAGTAACATTTTACTTGGATGGGACATTAATGAGACAGTCCAATGACTGCCGCATTTTGTTGGATCACCTCTTTGGAATGGGCACAAATATGGATCTCTTCCAATCAGTTGGCCTGGTAGCTGTCTTCCAGATGTCTTAGCTTAAATGAGTGAGTGCTTCAAGTACTGCACCAGTTTGTTGAAATCTTTCAATACCTTTTGATCCTTTTTTATGACTCTATTCTCTCTCCCCCCCTCCCCCAAGTTGCTATTGAGTCTGTTCTGACTCATTAATACCCATGTGTGTCACAGTACAACTATGTTCCATGGGGTTTTCAGGGTCAGATAATTTGGAAGTGAACATCAGACTTTTCTTTTGAGGCAGTTGAGTGTGTTAACCATTGGCACCAGTCTGGGAATCATATGACTGTGGTTCCCTCTGGCTTATTCAACCTTTTCCTTACTGGTGGGCCTTTTTTATTGTTTCACATCCTTTGCTATTATTATAAGTAATGGTACAATGAATAATCGTGCACATATTTTGATATTTGAGAATCTTTGAAAGTGATTATTAGAAGTGAACTAGTCGGGAAGGGGTCAGTGGTTTTGCAGCTGGGCTTGATGTTGCCACCATTCCTTCCGTAAGAGTCGTGCTCCTGTGGTGTATGAGAATGCAGCTTTGCCCATAAGGAGTGTTGTTGTTGTTGTTAAGTGCCATCAAGTCGATTCCGACCCATAGCAACCCTGTATAGGGTTTCCAAGGAGCAGCTGGTGAGCTTGAAGCACCGATGTTGCCGTTCAGACGACTTTGCAGTCTGATGCGTTAGCCCACAGCACATCACCGGGGCTCCAGTAAAGAGAGTGGCCCACTGTATTTCTGTTGATTTCACAAGTAAGAAGTGACACAGAATTAATGCAGTGTGCATTTCTGTTCATGTGACTGAGGTTACTGGTGATTCTACCATGGGTATTGTCCCTCAGGTGGTAGCCATGGAAACCAGATGATGGTACTGTGTGAGGAACAGATGAGACCTGAGGAAAGGAGAGGGGTGGACTCGAAGGACAGTTTGAAAAACTTGGCTGGGTGGAAGGAGAAACACTGGGCAATAACTGGAGAGAAAACAGTTGTTCTTAAGATGGATTTCTTTCACCACTAAAATGATTGGATCAGGTTTAGAGGTCAGTAGGGTGGAAGAGATTAAAGGGAAAGGACAGACAAGAGGTAATCGTGTACAGTTCCTATAAAAGGGAGAGAATACAGACCAAAACTGTGTTCTCTCTCAACACTGCAGGGTGTGATCTGATAGAGGAAGAGAGAGGACTTGTTTGTAACAGGGAAGAGAGGAGCTGCCAGGGTGCTGAGTTTTGCTAGTAAGACTGTACAGTGAATTCCTTCTCATGACTTTTACTCTGAGAAGTAGGATGCAGAGTTACCTGCTGAAAGTGAGACTGTATTTGTTATCTATTGCTGTATAGCCAACGACCCCCGAACCTAGTGACTTAGGATAGCAGTCATCATTTATCACCACTCAGAGTTCAGGAATTCAGGAGTGGCTTAACTGGAAAGCTTTGACTTGGGACTTTGCTGAGTTTTCAGGAGGATGTCAGCTGGGGCTACAGTCGTCTGAAAGGATTCACATCCTAGGTGGTTTGTTCTCACAGCTGCTGAGTTGTTGCTGGATGTTGTCCTCTCCACACGGACCTCTCCAAGGTACTGCTCGAGTGTCTTCACAACATGGCAGCGAGCAGCCCCATAGCCTTGTAGAACTTGGCTCTGCAGTGTCCTGGTGATCACATAGGTCAGCTCTGAGTCTCTGTGGGAGGGAACATACACGGCAGTGAAACTGAAGGAGCAACATGACTGAGGAGAGTTGGGGAGGCTAGTTACCGTGGGAGGAAAAGGTGAGGCTGTGTGAGCTGTAAAGAACTTCTCATTGGTCTTTGGGAGTCTGGTGGCTCTAGAGGATAAACACTGGACTGCGTACTACAAGGTCGGTAGTTCAAACCCACTAGCTGCTCCTTTGGAGGACAATAAGGCTTTCAGTTCCCCCAAAGATTTGCAGTGTAGATAACGCTATACAGGGTCTCTGAGAGTCGACAGCACTTAACAACCACAGTTGGTCTTTGGATGAGGGGAAAACTACATTGACTTGTAGAATTGTTGCTCTTTTCCTCTCAGTGACATAATGTTCTAGAGGTGGTCCCATTACTACTCTTGTGTAGGTGTCTGCCCAAATGTTGCCATGGGACAGGCAGACACTTGGACTCATCTCTGCTTGGAGTTTTGCTGGGCCTTTGAGAAGGTAGAAAGCAGGTCTAAGGCAGTTGGTTGAAGTGAAATGGAATTGGTGGGCTCTGAGGTGGATAACTATGAAACGAGATGAGGAGGTGACTTGTGGACACAAGATTGGGAGCGTGGATGGGCAGAAGTAGCCTTTGTGCGGGAGGAAATCAATCCCAGGCAGTCAGAGGAAATGAATGGGCCCGTGGAAGGACAGGAGGCTGGCTTCAGAGCCTGGCAGACTTCAGAACTTTATCCCAGATGGTACAACAGTTTCAGTTGATGACAGAATCTCGGGTGCCACCCGTGGAAATGTGTGGCTAAGATTGAGTCGGGGTACCGGGTGTTGGAGTTGAGCCCATTCTCCTGTCCTGGCCATCAGTATGGACTGTGGGGTCGTCTGAAGGAGGTGGGGCTGGAGGTGGGGAGGAAGAGTGGGACTCACAGTGGCTCCTGTAATTGTAGAAGAGAATGAGTTGGTAACCAACTCAGGAAGGAACAATGTCACCCGAAGGTCAGTGAAGCGAAGGTTTTAAAAGGAAGTAGAACCGTGGTGTCCTGGTTTTGTCATCACATGATCCCGGGTTCATAACCTAAACGAAATCATTAAGGCCCAGTTCAAGCTCACCAGCCGCTCTTTGAAAAGCCAATACAGGGTTGCTATGAGTGGGAACCGACTTGATGGCACTTCACAACTTGCGGGAAGGAAGACGTACGTGATGGGACATGAGAGACTGAATGGTTAGTATTCCCATATTGTACAGATCCCTGCATCGAGTGCATTGAGTGGATTAAGAAGCACGCCACTGTCTAATGGTTCAGGAAGATTCACCGTCCAAGTCACAGGATGGCAGCTCTTGTTCTGCCCCCCTCTTGTGGTAAGTATTGGGGTAGTGCAGGCCCTCGGAGTCCAGGTTTTGAAGGAACAACCGGGGAAGGAGTTGAGTAGCCCTGGAGAAGGGCTGGGCTAGGCAGATGAAAATAAAGTCCCATGAGCCCTGGTTGCTGCTATCACATCATGTGATCCTTGGGCTTTGGGTGGTTTGAATACCTATGGATGTGTTTACCTGTGTGGTGAACGTCGGGAATGTTTTCAATGATACCTGTAATTGTTTTTATAAACTTGATAAATAGCATTGATGCCCCCTAAACTTCAGTTTCCTCATCTGTAAAACAGGAATAATACCCTTTTCCTCAAGTGCAGTAAGATCCTTTAGCCTTATTTTCTAGCCCTGGGTTGGACAGAGTTCAGCTGTGACGTCTTATGAAACTGTCTTTATAGATGTCTTTGTATGGATGTCTGGGTGCTCATGTATATTTATGTGGGATACGCTAGTCATGGTTATAGGAGAAAGCTTTCAGATTTAGGAGTGTTGGAACATAGAGCAAAGCTAGCTTCTTGCAGCTCATTTCTTCTTCTCCAGCTCAGTCTACCATATACCCAGCCTCTCATTACAAAGGAGCCACAGACGAGGAAAGACTGGTTAATGGGTTCCTCACAAGCTGGTTACAGGTGAGTCAGATATTCTCTTTTCCCAATCATTATTCCTTTAACCAGAAGTTGGACTTTTTAATCTTTCAAAAGTCTAGTCACAGCCATACCAGGTGCCCAGGAAGCCCAGGATCTCTGGGCTTCTGATTGCGTGTGAGGGAATTCCCAGGATATGTTAGTATAGCTCAACGTTGAATTCCTCTCCAACTGAATGTCTTAAGCCAAGTAAAAAGATAAACTACGTTCTAAACTGAAGCAGTTTATGATCTCTCTGCGGAAACAATGTATTCATTTGGCAAGTGTTTCTCTGACTTCTTCAGGAGAATTAGCACTGATGAGAAAGAAGACTGCAGGAGCTCTGGGCTAGAGCTGTCTTTGACCTTGGAAGTGGGTGTAGGCAGCCAGGAAATGAGCATTGAGACTGAGCCCAGAAGCAGATGAGACCTCAAACCCTGCCCATTCATCATGTGCTGTGGACTCCCCTTCCCCACTTCTGTCAGCCTTGACTCTTTTCATGTCATCATTGGTGTCAGTGGTCCTGGGCTGAATCGTGGTGTTTTCAATGGTAGGACTTGGTGACCTTTGAAGATGTGGCTGTGGAGTTCACCCAGGAGGAGTGGGCATTGTTGGACCCTTCTCAGAGGAAACTGTACAGAGATGTGATGCTGGAGAACAGCAGAAACTTGGCATCACTTGGTAAGGCCAACATCATTCCTGCAGTCACTGAACCCTTCAGGCACCATGTCGTTCTTAAGCACGTGCTGTGTTCCAGGGTCTGGGCTAGGGGTCTAGAATGTACTGGTGAACAAGCCACATATGGCTCCTTCCTTACAGTGTCTGCTGTCTGTTGTCGTCCCTACAAAGTGAACCTGTATCCTGTGCCCTGACTTTGTATTCACCATGGTTCAATGAACTGGGACTTCCAAAGTGTGGATTAGGATTTAGGCACAAGTGCCTGGGCCGGTTATCCCTAGTCACACTGGATATTGAGTTGAGTGTACTTGTGTTTTTGTTCCTTATGAGAAAGATTGTTATAGATTAAACTGTGCCCACCAAAGTATGTGCTGAATTCTTGGGTCTCTTACCCATACATGTAATCCTGCTTAGAAATACTGTTTTTTTTTTTTTGTTGTTGTTGTTGTGTTCATGAGATCAAACAAGTGTAGGATGGCTCTTAAACCTAATCAGGTCTTAGTTATATGGAAGACAAGACTAGACGCAGACACCTGGAGGAAGACAGATGACATGTGAGGATCCATATACAAGTAAAAGAATGGTAAGCATCACCAGTAAATACTCGAAGCCACGACAGAGGCTCCAAGAAGGAAATAGTCATGGTAACAGCCTGATTGGGACTTCTAGTCCCCGAAACTGTGAAAAAAATCCCGTTCTGTTTCTTGAAGCCACCCACTTATGATATTTCTGATACAACAGCCCTAGATAAATAAGAGAGTAGGTGATGTTGTTTTAACAACACTATAACGTAAAGGGACTCCTGGTGTGGCGCTGTAGGATAAGCACTCGACCGTAAGGTCAGTTTGAACTGCCAGGTCAGTGGTTCTTACTTACCAGTTGCTCCTCAGAAACTCTGTGTAGGATCGCTCTGAGTTGAACTGACTGACGGTACTGAACAGTAACAGAATGTAAAGGGACTTGGAACTGGGTAACGGGTAGAAGCCGAAGATATGTGGATGCATTTGCAAGTAAGAGCCTTGATTGTCTCGGTAGCCTGGACATTAAAGGCTCTCTCAGATCTGCAGTTATGATAGAACAGAAATAACACAAAGGTGGCGTTAGCACACCAATTTATTACATCACCATTTAGGAGTTTAAAAGTCCAAATTCAGAGGGCTAGCTTGAGGGAAAGACTCTCTCTTGTGTCAGTTCTAGAGAAAGGTCCCTGTCTTTTTCAGCCTCCAAAGGCCCAGCATTCCTTGGCAATCTCCCTGTGTCTTGGCATCATTCTTCTCCTGCATCTACGAGCTTCACAGTACAGGGACCCAGGTCAAAGGGATGCACTCTTCTCCTGGCTCCTCTTTCTTGACTGTAGTAGGTTATTTAAAAAAAAAAAAAAAACAGTAAAGAAAAAAGACCAAAGTGGTTTCAGAAGCAACTTTGAAGCTTGCTCTTGAACACAGAGAAGTTAAAGCAACTGGAAGAAATGATGAAGTAAAGCAGGTGAAGAGAAAATTTCAAAGGGCAGCTTGAGAAGACTGAGTAAAGTATTATAATAAAATGTGTTACGACCTGATACTAGGAAACCAAATGGAAGAACCCGCTCAGCATTTCTCAGGTTGAAAGAACTGAAGACAAAATTCATGCCTCTGGTTGCAATATCGAAGGATTCAACGGGAAAATACTGAATGATGCAGGAAGCATCAAAAGAAGAGGAAAGGAATTATTATATACCAAAATGAATTCGCTGATATTCAGCCATTTCACGAGGTTGACCATATGATCAAGAGCCAGTGATACTGAGGGAAGAGGTCCAACATGCACTGAAGGTACTGGTGAAAAGCAAGGCTTCAGAAACTGATGAAGTACAAATTGAAATGTTTCAACCAACTGATGGAGTATTTGAGGTGCTTACTTGTCTATGCCAAGAAATTTGGAAGACAGCTACTTGGCCAACCAATGAGAAGACATCCCTGTTTATACCGTTTCCTAAAAGAGGTGACCCAATAGAATGTGGATGTCATCTAATAATGTCATTAATGTCACATACAAATGAAAGTTTGCCAAAGATCATTTAAAAATTATTGCAGCAGTATATCAACAGAGCTGCCAAAAATTCAAACTAGATTCAGAAGAGAATGTGGAATGAGCGATATCATTGCTGACATCTGATGAATCTTGGCTGAAAGCAGAGAATACCAGAAAGAACTTTACTTATGCTTTATTGACTATACAAAGCCAGTCGATTGTGTGGATCATAACAAATTATGGATAACATTGCGAAGAATGGGTATTCCGGAACACTTGATTGTGCTCATGAGAAACTTGTATGTACATAGATCAAGATGCAGCCCTTGGAACAGACCAAGGGGATACCAAATGGTTTAAAATCAGGAAAGGTGTGTGCCAGGGTTATAACCTTTCACCGTATTCCTTCACTCCGTATGGTGATCAAATAATCTGAAAAGAGGTTATATGAAGAATATGGCATCAGGATTGGAGGAAGACTCGATTACGACCTGCACTGGACTGCAAGCCACAAGGTCAGCAGTTCAAACCCACCAGCTGCACCTTAGAAACCTTATTATACAGGGTTGCTGTGAGTTGGAACTGACTCAATGGCACTGAACAATAGAAAAAGAAATGGTCAGTGTTCAACCATTTCAACAGGTAGCATATGGTCAAGAACCGATGGTAGCATATGGTCAAGAACCGATGGTAGCATATGGTAGCATATGGTCAAGAACCGATGGTAGCATATGGTAGCATATGGTCAAGAACCGATGGTAGCATATGGTAGCATATGGTTAAGAACCGATGGTAGCATATGGTAGCA